AATGATTTTAACATTAATTTTGATTATGTTTTCAAATTTAATGAAGTTTTTGGTTTAGTTTTGATGAATTGAGTGAAATTCAGATGAATTTAGGTTTTCAGTTGTTAATTTTGTGATCAGGTGCTCTGTTGAGCTGTAAAAATGGAGGAAAACGAAGCGTTTTGCTGGAATTTTGGCTTAAATCTACGTCGTTTTACTTGTTGATTCTGGATAAACTTGCCTAAATCTGATTTTTTGCTTAATATGAAGATCTAATTGTGTTTAATTTAGTTGAGTAGTTAATGATTTTCATTCAATATATATATGTCGTTTCAAGTGCTAGTTAATGTCGTTTTGCATTTTTAGCAACTCTTAGATGATGCCAAAGAGTTGGTCCCACTGTTAGTGGACGGTTATGCCAGTTATGCTATCAATATCCATGCTTTAATGGCTTCAAAACTTGCCATCTGTTAATTTACTATTGGTGTTCTGTAGCTAATCTTGGTTAGTTTGATTGATAATGATGGAACTGAAATTGGTTAATTAGGATTAAGTCATAATTAGTGTGATAATTGAAAGCTAGAAGTTTGTGAAATAATGTTGAAGTTGATACTTGGATGTTGATTGGTTTTTGTTTGTGTTGGTTTGAGTGTAGGAATTGCAAGACAGAGTTGCAAAGGCAAAGGTTTTTAATTATGAAGAGATGCTCAAAGTTAGGAAGGAGATTGTTGATTTTCATGGGGAGATGGTTTTGTTGGAAAATTACAGTGCCCTCAATTATACAGGTAGCTATCATCTGTGACTTATACGCTAATGACGTTCTAATTCTTACTTAATTTTTAGTGTTGCAATTAGTTTGAAATGGATAGAGTACTAGATTGCACGGAAGTAGTGTAACACTAGTTTAGGAAGGTGCATGATAGTTGATTGATGCTTTATTTTGGGATAATATTCCACTCTAGAAGGTAATAATGAATATAATTGGTAAGGTTGCTTAATTGTTGATGTGAAATGATAGTTGAGGACCTTGAGGTTGTCGCTTTCTAAGTTGGATATTCCATTAGCATATGGAATATAGTCCTTTGAATATGTTCTCTATGGGTTGACTCTAAGGAGACCTTTCGTGGATCTCACAATAGGATTTCCCTTGCATTTTACTAGGTAAGTACTTGTACTAAGTAGACACTAAATGGAGAACAATGATGATTGAGGGAAAATAATATTGTTTTTAGATTGTGAATATTTTGTTATGGGTATAATTGTGTGACACTATCACTTGTCAATGATTCAACAAAGAAGAGAAAAACTGATTATGTTTTCAGGTCAGCTGCTGTCTGTTGACTATGTTTATCTGGTGGACGAGTCTTCCAAAATAAAATATAAATAGAAAAACCTAAGCAAGTGTTATTATTGAGTCATGCATATTATAATCGTTTTAATTAACTTACCTTTATAATATAGTGTAATCATAATTTACATATGTATCTTATTTGTGTTTTAAAATTAATATAAAAGCACGTGTGTACTGAGTAGATAAGGATCGTTTTAATATTTTGTGATTTGAATTTCGATTTTATTTGAACTTGTCTATTCACTGGTATTGTGTTTAAAATTGATGCTGGTCAGACCAGGCACTCAATAGGATATGGTGGTCCCTGCTATATGTATGAATTATTTAAAAATTTCTAGTTACTATTCTTGTAGACTAGGTTAATAGTATATCTTTTAAGCAAAAATGATGGGAATAGCGAGAGTGAAGATGGAATGGAGTGTAGCCTTTACTTATAACATCAGGTTTGATGATCATGCCTATACAACATACAAGTATTTGAAAAAAATAAAAGCAATATCACAATTCACTGATATTGTGTTTAAAATTGATGCTACTCAGACTAGACACTCAATAGGATATTGTGGTCCTTGTGTGTATGATTTTTTAAAAAAAATTCCCAGTTACAATTCTTGTAGACTAGGTTAATAGTACATCTTTAAAGCAAAAATGATGGGAATAGTGAGAGGGTGAAGATGGAATTGAGTGTAGCATCTACTTATAATATTAGGTTTGATGATCATGCCTATTGCCTATACAACATATTTGAAAAAATAAAAGCAATATCACTATTCACAAATGATGTGAATAAGATAAATCTGCAATGTTCAATAACAGCCACATATGCCTTGTAGTCCCAAATATGTTGGGAAAGACAATATTTAAGGATATACAAGAAATGTGGTTGCTAATTTGCTATTGTTGGACTAGATCATGATCAGACCTCTCAGCTGCTTCACAACCTGTCTTGATGTGCAATTCAAATGATAGAATAAAAGAAGGAATCTTAAGGAATAAATAAAATAATGTACAAAAATTACTTTTTTCTTTACAAAATCTTCAAGAAAATAAAGGTTCCTAATATTCTTTTTTTCCCTTTTTAAAGCATGTAGCTTAATATTGTTTAGAAAAATTAGAATTTTACTGATTTGAGCTTGGACCATTTTATTTTTGATATCGAGATACATACATTGAAGCTTGTGCCTTGCCTTTATGTATGAGTTGGACTGGTGGATGTTTCAAAGCCGGGTTAGTGTAAAGTCATGAATCTGCACTTCTGCTACCCTAACAGAAAATATTGGAGATCAAGAGAGTTTCAGGGTTAATAGTCCAAAGACTAGAAATTCTAGAACAAATGCCTTTTCTAATGACCTTATTTGAAGTTATTGGCCTTATGAGTTCACTGTTTTCTATATATTTCCAAGTACCTTGAGCTGTTTTTGGCACAGGACAATTTACCTAGTTCGCTGCTGAATACTTCTGACACATGAATAACAATCTTGTTTGCTCACCGGGACATTTTTCTGTGACATGAGTTGATGAAATTTCTTATTATTGACCAAGTTTTTGGTGAGATTTCTGAGCAATATTTCATGTCCATATTGCAAATCACAGTGTGTTCCATACTTTCGTAGCTAACATAAATACGTGACGGGTCTGTCTTCTTGCTTGTTTCTGTGCGACTGTAGATAGCCTTGACTCTAGATGCTCCAATACAAGGAAGATGAGCAAATTGTTCCCTTAAAATGTGATTTTCTAGCGACTTAACAATTTAAAGCATTGATTATTACTTAATGAACAATTTCTTACAGAGTCCTGTTGTGACTTTATGTGTGGGTGGCCTCTGCCTTCTGGCTTAATATGTTTGTCAATAACAGGATATAAACTTGCTTCTAGCTTCTTAAGCTTCACAGACTCCCTTTTAATTTCTTATTTAGCATTTTTCTCATTCAATTCTGGACTTCCAATTGCAGGTTTGGTGAAAATTCTTAAGAAGTACGACAAAAGAACTGGCGCACTCATTCGCTTACCATTTATTCAGAGGGTCTTGCAGCAGCCTTTCTTCACAACCGACTTAATTTACAAGCTCGTCAAAGAATGTGAAAGAATGCTCGACCTTCTCTTTCCCACTGATGACGAGCCAACTACAGCCTATTCAGCCGATGGTGATGAGAGGTGTGACCCTACAACCAGTTCCACCAGCAATAATAACGGTCTGCTCAAATGTCCGAAGGAACTTGCAGAGATCGAGTACATGGAGAGCCTCTACATGAAGAGCACTATCTCGGCACTAAGAGCCTTGAAAGAAATCAGAAGCAAAAGCTCGACTGTGAGCATGTTCTCACTACCTCCCCTGCAACTCGCTGGTGCGGAGGAGACATGGAAGAAGATACCTATTCTTGAACAAGTAGCCAAGTAGGCAGCACTTGCTTCTAGAGGGGACTAGGGAAGAGACGCTACTCTCGTCTCCTTCGTGTATTTTTTTTACTGTATTTTTTTGTCCCTCGATCTCTTATCTCTTCGTAGATACTAACACAAAATGTAATACTACAACTTACTTCAACTACCACTAGCAGTTATACTAAGAGCATGAATTATGCACTGTATGATAAGGTTTGTCTATCAAGTATACTAAGAGCATGAATTATGCGCTGTATGATAAGGATTATGTTACGCACAATGTACAAGTTTCAGAAGAAATTACTTGTTGATAACTTGTTCATCCAGCTAGCTGTATTGTTTGCAAGTCTAAACTCAGGCTTCTTACACCAAACATGTCAAAACTCGAAACACCTGCGAGACGTGTTCGAAAGATACAGTAAGCTATTATAGGAAACAGGAAACACCACATAGCCTAGCCGTGGTAAAAATTTTAATTAAATTTCGAGATATTTTATGATACTTAAGTGATAGATAATCAAAATGATCATTTACGAATGTATAAGCTGTAAATTATGAGAATGACAACATATGTTCATGTGATATAATCGCTGCCTATTATCTATCAACATTGTGAGTCATTTCGATCAATGGGAAAACACACCCACTAACAAATCAATTTAAATGAAATACTATTGGAAAGTAATTGATAAAGAGAAGAAAAACAATTGGATGGATAGAAATTAGAAAAGGGGAGAGAGAAAGACAAAAGGGAAATTACTAATTATAAATGCTTAATGAATTAATAGATATGATTAAACAGGGTTAGAGGTTAAAGAAGACTAAGGGCTTGGATAGTATAGAGTATACTTTCAAGAAGAAAAAAATAAAAAATAAAACCATTTACGCATGGTATTTAAAGTTATGTTATATAAACGTGGAGAAGCCATTAAGGTGCATGAGGTGTCAGTTGACACCCAGTTAGAACTAAATTTATGATTTAATTTTTTTCTATAAAAATACTTATATAAAGCTAATGATCCATGACTCTCCATCTTCAAAATCTTGGCTTTGCCATTAGTAATTATTACTTATCAATCGATAATAATAATATCTAGGTCAAAACATGAACTCGCAAATAAGAATGAAAGGCGATAAGACATAATAGGTCATGGGAACATGGATATGGTATACAAAGGCACAAAAAGAACAAAGAGATGATCAAAAGGATGAAATGATGTGATATTTTCATAAACGCGTTACATACAATGATACAAAGAATTTAAAAAGAATCAAACCAAAGAAAAGAAAGATGAAGGCCTGCCTAATTGCCTATAGTATATTAAGTGATGCTTCAGTGTTGATTTCGGGGCCTTCATCAGAAAGAACCGCCTTTACAAACATTGGATTGAATGGCTTTGATGTGATTGATGAAGCAAAATCACAACTTGAGTCATTATGCCCAGGAGTTGTTTCTTGTGCTGATATCTTAGCTTTAGCTGCTCGTGATTCTGTTACTTTGGTAACTAATCTTGTTAAACTAATACAAATACAAACATGCATGATTATACATGTAACATGTGGGTATACGTCTCATGTTATGTATCTATACACGTTTATTTCTTCCTTGCTACAAGTACTTTTGTTTGACATGAACTTTAATGGACAGACTGGAGGTCCAAATTGGGGAATTCCACTAGGGAGATTGGATGGCAAGAGATCTTCAGCATCCGATGCCTTAAACTTGCCATCTCCTCTGGAATCTATTGCTGTCCATAGACAAAAATTTGCTGATAAAGGTCTCAATGATCATGATCTTGTTACACTTGTTGGTATGCCCTCGCCTTTGACTCTTTTCTAGTATAACGGATGCACCAAAATACTGGATTAACACTTTAACTCTTTCACAACCCTTTAGAAATAGGGAGTTGAAGTAGATTTTCACATTAGATTTACAATAGATCTACCTAATACTTTGGACGTGATAACTTTAATTTATTTATTTATAATACAAAGTACTATATATCTTAAATTTAGTATTGATGCTAATATTTCGAAGGTATAGGGTTGGGCCCTTCCAAGACATAAGACTAATGTACAATTGTCTGACCCTTTGTCCGAGGAACACTCCTAACCACATGAGCTCCTCTTAGGGCTCTCACGTCTCCTTTTAGTATATGTAGTGCAACTTATGCACAACCTTATATGTGGTTGTGGAATTAACACCTTAAATTATCATTTCAAAACATTGTTCAAACTTCATACATAAAAAAAATCTAAGATCATTTAGACTCGAGTATTAAGTTATCCTAACAAAAACTACGCACATAACTATTTCCTTTATTTTATTTGAAACAACTCAATTTCCTTGAAACATAATTTAATCTATGATCTCAAATTTGTGTCCTCTCTAGGTGCACATACCATTGGACAAACCGATTGCAGATTCTTTCAATATAGGCTCTACAATTTCACACCAACAGGCAACTCTGATCCTTCAGTCAGCTCACAAAATCTAGCCCAACTACAAGCCTTGTGTCCCAAAAATGGCAATGGTTTAACCAAGGTGGTTTTGGACAAAGATAGTGGGAATAGATTTGATGTTAATTTCTTTAAGAACATTAGGGATGGCAATGCTGTGCTCGAATCCGATCAACGATTATGGGGCGATGATGCAACTCGTGCAATTGTGCAAAATTATGCAGGAAATATTAGAGGGTTGTTTGGTGTTAGGTTCAATTTTGATTTCCCTAAAGCTATGATTAAGATGAGTACCATTGATGTTAAAACTGGTTCTAATGGTGAGATTAGAAAGGTTTGTTCAAAGTTTAACTGAATGTAAGTTTGGTTATTCTCAATAAATCAATTGTGTCTATCAAATGATAAATTGTAATGTTACACAAGTTGTACCGATAAATTGTAATGTCACGATGTGTTTTTTTTTTTTTTACTTAAATATAGGTTTCTTTTGGTTCATCTAACTTATTTTATCTGTACTTATATTATCTGAACTTATATAATGTTGTAGCATAATTAATACTCCGTAACTTACATGAGATTGTGTCAAAACTTATTTTCATTATACACGTCAAGTATACTATTTCCGAGGTCAGTACTTTGTATTTGTATTGCTTTATTCATGCTTGCTCCACTTCAAGTAATATTTGTTGTAACTTTACAGTTAAATATTTTTTTCTTAATCTCCCTTGCCATTTTAAAGTCGGAAGCTAAACAAAAACAAAGGGAGTATCTTAGTAAATTAGAATGCTGTTAAATTGAACTTCTGTATGCTTACATGAAATCGTAAAATGTTGTAAATATTAAAAAATGAAGGAAATATAACATTCCATACATTAAATTTTCGGTAGCTTAAGAGAAAGAGGTAGCATGGTAGACTTTGTAGCAACGTAGTGGGGTACTTTGCTGATTTGCCGCCCCATAAGGCCATAATGGCAGATGGACCTAGTCCATGATATTAGTTTCAAGATATCCAAGTGGAGCTCAAGCCCAAGTAGAAGACCAATCAGCCCAAAAAGTTAAGGATAGCCAATTCCTAGTTGATCTACAACAAGTCAACAAGTCTATAACCTTATTTTTTATATAGTCAAAATAAGTACCACGTATATAAAATTATGAATAGTATAAAAGTCAAACTGATATAATTAATCTAAAACAAATATAATACAAAATATGATTTTTTACATTGATTAATGTTCAAATTAATGTGGCTGTGTAGTGTATCATTATAAATTACCTTTGTGCTTTGTCCCTTAGCTTTTTGTTTGTCTCGATGAAGTTAGCTTACTTTTTTCTAACAAACAAGGCAAAATTGTGTAGAAAAAGTTGTAAGTGAGAATGATGAGGAAAGAGTGAGAGTAAGTGGATTGCAAATCTTGCAATAGTTGAAAATTTTACCAAATGGAGTATCAAAGCAATCTCAAAGAAGCACCCAAAACAAATAAGAGGAAACAAAAGGAATAGAAAGAGTAATTAATAATTATAACATCTGTTTTTTATTATCTGCAACAAAGGAATATTTAATACATTTTACGAAGTAATAAATCATTTCTGATCACAATCTATCATAAAAAAATAGATATGAATAATATGATGTCCTATGTTTAAAGTATACGTGTCATTTGTTGGCCTCAACTCAATCTACCTTCTCATGTCAATAGATTTGGGGGCGAAAAGACATCGTCCATAGACCATACGTACACCTTAGCTTCTTCATGTATTATCCATCATCTTCATCCATGACCATGATCACAAAAAACAAAAAGACAAAAACAAAATACATTTTTTTATTTGAAATTTACCAAAAAATTTAAATTTCAAAAATCCATATAAAACACACAACCTTCCATAACTCTAAAATTTAAGCATTAACTCCATGCATACACCAATTATCTAATTATCCAATATATGAGGTTGATGAATCCATGAATATATAACATGCCAATACAAAATTTGAATTATTTATTTTTTTCAAATGTAACCAACACAAAAATTAAGGTCCAACATTATCAAGATGAGTATGTATACCAATAACATTTTAAGGCATAGCCTCTTAAAATTATAAGAAGCTCTCATTTAGCTAGATGTCTTTTTCATTATCTACCCTAGGACCCATTTGGGTGGTGATTGTTAAAAATTGATAAATTTTAGATAAAATCCCTTAAATTGAAGGGTGGAAATGTAGGTTCTCTTACATTTATAAATCAATATAATCTTGCACCCCTTACAAAAATAAATGTACTACTACTAACATTTATAACATTATATTGTATTAAAGTTTTAGCTTACTTATCGTATAGAGAGCTCTTCTATTCTCTCTTAATTAACACACGTAAATGTCGACTGCTGCTTCTTCTTTTAACGGGTGGTGCCTCACCTCTCCCGCTCGTTCTCAATTGAAGAACACACCCACTTTAAGGCCTACTTTCTTTGCTAACAATAGGCTCAACCCTTCTTCTTCTGTTCCCCCTGCCCTTATTCGGAACCAACCCGTTTTTGCTGCCCCCGCCCCTATCATCACACCTACTTTGGTACGTACATTATGTTTTATCATATGTTTTTTTCCTTTCAGTATAAGTAGTTCTTGTGTTAGTCAGTCATATATGGAAAAGTGAGATCGCGTGACATTTTATTCATTATATAGGTGATCGACATTCATCACTAAAACATATTGTCTACAAGTAATTAATACAATTTTTGGGGTAGTATTTTACATGTAGTTCTAAAGATAAGAGATGTTACATTTTTTTGGGAATGAATGAAATATGTGCAACTAAAACCTCTAGAATGTACTACTAGTAGTAAAACTAAAATACTTAGCTAAAAAATGATGTGAGTAAGAGTACTACATTTTAGAAACTTTTAGCATAGTTTGTTTCCATAATATACTTCATTGTTGTACATTCATTTTCTTTACTTCTTTAGGATAAACAATATGTTTGCAAAGCTAACAGAAAAAGTAGGCCATTTTCTTCGTCATATGAGATAAATCTCTAGTAATAATAGAGTCTAACAACAATTACATTTTACATAATCATTTTCATGATCATCCCAAATTCTACAAAACAATAACGTTTCGAAAATTTGTTCAAGCAGAAGGAAGATATGGAATACGAAGAAGCCATTGCAGCCCTTAAGAAGCTCCTAATGTATGTAAATCTTCTTGTTTTTGTACTAATTTAAATTAATCATGATTATGTATTGATTTATATGTTAATATTTTGTTGTATTACTCTAATAAAGTTGGTATTTTTGAAGGATCATGCCATTTTCCTCAACAAACTAGCAATAAAGTGGCGGTGTTTAGGTTATGCATGGGTAGGGACGAATTTAATAAATTTTGAAAAGGGGTGGTCTAAATTCAAACAAATAAAGAAAAGAGAAACAAGGTCTACCACATGTTGTACATTGGATTTGCACCAAAAACATACGTTGTATATTATATTTGAATGACCTAAAAATTTCTATTCAAATTTTATTGGATAAGATATCCAAATCCCCCATTTTATTGGACATATGTGAGGGAACAAAAAGGTTATGTATGCATCATATATTCCTCAAAGAAAAGAAATTTAGAAAAATGTATGTAGTAATAGATTTAAAGTTTGATGATAAAGGGTTTAATCGGTCGATCCATGGAAACATGTAGTAAAATGTTAAAGGAGTTACGACATATGCTGATATGTGATCCATATGGTTGAAAATTTAAAGTATTATGCATGTCGGTTAAGATTGGTTAGATTCATAGATGATGATGATGTGGTGGTCATGGACCATCCAATAAATTTCGTATGAAAGAGGTTTATGGAAACATGATTTGATGTGACATGTTAATTGACTGTAGTGAGAACGGCGAGCTTGAAAATGAAGCCGCATCAAAAGTGGCGCAGATAACAGCTGAGTTAAAAACCGTTGATGGCAAACCATCATCGGATTACCCGGTTGAGAGAATTAAGGAAGGGTTTATCAAATTCAAGAAGGAGAAATACGAGTAAGTAATGATTTATTCTTATATGTCTATTGTTTATGTAAAAGACATGTTCGTTAAAATTAATTAATTGAGAAATTTTTGCACCTATTTATTGTAGGACAAATCCAGCACTCTATGGTGAACTAGCTAAGGGCCAAAGCCCCAAGGTAATTTTCACTTTCAACTAATTATTCTTATAATCTAACTAATCAGCTAGATAAATCATCTAATTTTCACTTTTTTATTCTTCATACTTTGACTTTTTTACATTTGTTTTAAAGAGCTAGTATAGGCATGTTATATTTTGTGTAAATAATAATTAATACTCATAAAGTATAAGTATAATCTATTAGTTATGATTGAAATAACTGATAAAATTGCGAAAATGGTGTGTAGTTTATGGTGTTCGCATGCTCCGACTCCCGTGTGTGTCCTTCGCACGTTCTAGATTTCCAACCTGGTGAGGCTTTCATGGTTCGCAACATCGCCAACATGGTCCCAGCATTTGACAAGGTATATATTGCTCATATTTTAAAGACTTTTTTTATGGTTTTTTTTTCTTTTGGATAAAATTTTTATGGTTAATATTTATTATAGCATAATGATAGCAAAAATTAATATTTAAAAAAACTACTTTTTTATTAAATTATTAAAGTTACCTACGATTTAATTTCTATGATGACTGTACTTAACTAAAATTGATGGTTGAATCGATTTATATACTCTATCACGCCTCCTCAGATGATTGAAACCCATAATCGATTTATATACTCTATCAATAATATTTTGTTGATGCATTTAATTTATTTTGTGCGCAGAACAAATATGCTGGAGTTGGCGCGGCCATTGAATATGCAGTTTTGCACCTTAAGGTGGAGAACATTGTTGTGATTGGACACAGTGCTTGTGGTGGAATCAAGGGGCTTATGTCTTTCCCTGATGAAGGACCAACCTCAACGTAAGTTGATTATACTACTAATTAATTTTGTCAATTTTATCTATTTTTGAAGCTTATATAAGTAATTGATAAAAGTAATCAAAGAGTATATATATTTAATCAATTTATATTGGACTGATAATGTTATGACTTTGATTGCCTAGTGACTTCATTGAGGATTGGGTCAAAATCTGCTTGCCTGCCAAGCACAAGGTGTTAGCTGAGAATGCTTCCGCACCTTTCGCTGAACAATGCTACCATTGTGAAAAGGTTAAGCCTCCTTCACTATATAATTATATATACTCGCTCCCTCCATTCTCGAACTTTTATACCTGTCAAACACTCGTGATCCACCACACACATGTTGTTCTAAATGAACCCGTACCTTAGTTGAAGTGAATATTACCTTTATTTACTATATATATATGCTACATACACATTTTGAATATAAAGTATACAACACGTTCATTTTTAGCTAGTCCAGTCAATTCAGTCATAATAATAAATTGATAAGTAACTTAACACAATGACATGTTGTACATTATGTTTTTGAGATAACTGGTTTTTATCCTTAGCTTACCTAAATTATTACGAGTCTTAAATAAACTAATCGTGTTTTTATGTACCATTTTCAGGAAGCTGTGAATGTATCACTAGGAAACTTGTTGACATACCCCTTTGTAAGAGATGGTTTGGTGAAGAAGACTCTAGCTTTGAAGGGTGGTTACTATGACTTTATCAAAGGATCGTTCGAGCTATGGGGGCTCGAATACGGCCTCTCTCCTTCCCAATCTGTATGAACAACGAACCATTTGACTGCATCCTAATGCATCCATCACTTTACCTCCTCTTTCTGATCCTTTCTTCATGATCTTTCTATTTTCTTTGTATCATGTTGTATGTACTACTCACCTTATTCGAGCAAATAATAAGTTTGTGAATGTTAATGAATATATATATGGAGATAATTAAACGGCTTCTTTGGTTCAATCTCAACATGTTTATGTATATTGTCATCAATTGTTGTTTGAATTGAAGTAATTAAGTGATTAGCTAGATAACTTCATTCACTTCATTGCATTTGCTCTTCTTTAATTTATTGATAGGTTAAAGATGTCGCCACGATACTTCATTGGAAGCTCTATTAGCTTACATAGAGAGATGGATTTGCAGCCAAGACGGGCAATGGGTTATCTTATCTAGCTACCGTGTTGACATGTCATTCTGATTCTCGTTTTGAGTGGCTCCAAACAACTCGGGATTTTCACTCAACCATGTATATGCTACTCCCTACGTTCATAAAAGATGATGAAGTTTCAAAATTTTGGCCCGTCCCAAAAATTGTCTTTTCTTTCTTTGACCTTTTAAAGTCATTACCCATTGTTGACTATATACCAACAAAAACTAAGTAAATTATAATATCACGGTAATCTCTTTAATTATTATTAAAAGAATAACCGGTATATTATAATTTTTGGGAGTAGTATTTATTGAATAACCATCTCTTCATTACACACTAATGCAACATAATAGCGAAATAGTCACATATATGAATCAAACTCGGTCTTAAGACTTTATACATCGACTACATACTCAACTAGTATATTATACAAGTAATAGCAAAAGAGGTCCATGTTCTTTCCATGGACCCCTTGACATTTTGAAAGGTAATCTGGGTGGTTGGAACCATCCAATTTTCTTTTAAATCGTTAATTTAGTAGTTTACAGACACACCTCTCTTAAATAGCGAAACTCAAGTCCACCACACGTGTTTATCTGACTGATTATTGGTTACTTATAGTTCCAAATAACATTATATGACCTCTGAATGGATGTATCCTTTATCATTTCGATAGTTCTCAACAAACCTCCAAAATTGCTCTAATTTTGTGGATTATACGGCCTTCAATTTGGGCAATTTCAAACTTTTCAGACCCGAAAAGAAATAATATCCTGAGTTCTTCCTATAGACCCCGCGACACCTCGGTAGGCCATTGGATGGTTCAAGAGTAAGAAACAAGTTGATGCGGATCGTGGAAGTTCACATAAAGATGAGGTCCGTGTGTATTGATTCTTGGACAATTCCAAGATATGCTCAAATTGCTACGCAAGCCCAAGTTCAGGACCACCCTCACCTCGTAATATGAAACGAGCCCATATAAAAGACGAGCCATGTATTAGTATCGTTTTACACAACTGCTGTTACTTTCAAAGTTTATGACCCAACTATGTCCATGGTTCTACGCCATTTAGTATTAAATTAATACGAAGTACTGTAGTAAATATCTAAATTTTGGACCATAATATATGAAGTAAAAACGATGTTGAATTTTACATTGAAGAAAAAATTATTACTCTCTTTAGTATACTTTTAAGAAATTGTTACAGGATAATAAAGAGGAAGAAGAATAGGAAGGGGAGAAGCATGTGAAGTCTGAATAGGAAACATGGCTTGTTGGGAATCAATATATAATAACACAATACTAAAACAGATATCAGGATTAACACGTGTCACTTTCTGCTGCTGTTTTTTTCCCTTTAAAACTCTTCCCTCCTCTTTTAGCAAAAAATCTTTTATTTTTGTAACATTTGCAAATTTATAATAAAATTATTCTACATCTTATATATTATCTATATAAAATGTATTCTTTTTTATTTCGTGTTCTTAATTCTTCACTACACATTTATCTAAAATATTATTCCAAAACTTTTTTTAGTTATAGAAAAAGTGAGTCACTGCTTTGGTACAATATACTATCATTACCACCTGAACATCTTTTAAACGGAGTATTATTGAATTTTGCCGAAAAAGTCAAATAAAATTGATTTATATAGTTGATAGTAAAGAAATTACTTTAAAACATCACTTTATTTTTTTTTTTCAAGTACCTCTTTATATTTTGTTTTTTAGACTAATAGTATTAGATATGACTGTATAATAAATGTTGTGCTCGACAACTATATCATATGTCTAATTTTGGGAAAATGTAAAATATCAATCAAGTTTTTGTTATTAAGTAATTAAAAAAATTAGGGTTTTTCTATCTAGTAACCTTGTTAATTTCACTTTTCTACGTTGTGCCCCAACTTATATCACTATCTACACTGTAACCCTAATATACATTTTGTTCCATACGGTAACCTTGTCGTTATCCCGCCGTAAAAAAATTCCGTTAATGGAGCCCACTCTCCATTTAATAATATTTTTTATCGATTTGCGCGTTGGAAAACCTTCCGTTATAGGTTTTGGAGGCTATTTTAGCCCTTAAGGATCCAAATTAAGCTCAGATTTCACAAAAAAGTAATGTAAATGCCTCGTGTTGCTTATTGAAAAATGTCTCGATTTACGTGCTCACGTTTGAATCATGACACGATTACTTTATTTTATTTGTAAACACCTTACCTCTTACAACAATACCTCTGATTACTTATGTTTTTTCAAATTTAACTTTTATTACCCCCTTAATTTATTACTCCTAATTCAAGGAGAAACCTTAGAGGAAACCAAATCCGAACCACTGGATTTTGGGTCGAAAAGACACCGTGTTCATTTTCCCAACTTCTTGCCGTATTTCACCCATCATCTTCATCCATTAGCACAGAAAAAGAAAAATCCCATTAAAATATAAAGCAGAAACACAGAACTGAACACCATACTATACCTTCCAATTTTTATTTTTTTTTACACCTCCATTGTCACACCAATTATTCAATTCTTCTTCCCACTAATTAAAGCTTCCATCTTTATACTCAAAATCAAAACTTTCCATCTTTAATCCAACTCTTCTTCCCACTAATAATTGTTTAAATAATTGAGACTAATTCTTTTAGTCTCCTAAATTATACTTCTTTAATCCTAAATCCCTTTTACAATTTGCGACATAATAGACTCAATCATTCTTTTTAGGTTTTATTATAATTCTTTAATCTAGAAACCCTATTCCAATTTATTAAGAAAATTAGAAAAAAAAAAAAAGCTTTTCAATTAGCTCCCTTTTGTAGTTCCTTGCAAGCAACCTCAATTTAATTTTTTTTCTTTATTCTTTCCTAGTCAACTTTCCTTTTCATAATCCATATATTATTTTCTTATAAATTCTGAGTTTCAATGGCTTCCTTAGCATCAATTCCTCAAACCCAATTATTTTCCAAAAACCCCAATTTTAATCTCAAGAAAATCAACCCAATTCATAAATTTTCATCAATTTCCTTCATCAGAAGAACCCCAAATCATAAATTTGGATCATTGGAAAAAATTACCAAAATGCCCCTGAGAGCCACTGCTGTAACTGCAGCTGATGCAGAGGTGAAGAAGAGTTTTGTGGATGAAATGAGAACTGTGGCAATGAAGTTGCATACTAAAGAACAAGCTCCTAGAGAAGGGGAGAAGGTGGCAAAGGGTCCTGAAGAAAGGTCTCCTGCTAAGTGGGACCCAACTGTTGAAGGATATTTGAAGTTTCTTGTTGATAGTAAATTGGTTTATGATACCTTGGAGAGGATTGTTGATGAGGCTCCTGTTTCTTATTGTAAGATTTTCTCTCTTTTGTTTTGGTAAAAATTGTTGATTATTATTGAATTTAATGATTATTTGATTTGCTTTTGTGGGGTAATGAATATTGGTACTCCTATAAGTTTAGGATTCATGACAAAAACATGTGTTGATCGGTGTGATAAATGCTTAATTATTGTTAATCTTTCTGTTTTTAGTTCCACTAATCATCTTTCTTTATTTGTTGGTTGTGGAATTTGATTGCCAATTTTATAAGTAGGGCCCCAAAAAAGCATGAAGAGATGACAGATGAGGCCTTATTATTATTATTATTTTTTTTAATAAGTTGAAAGAATTTGCTGCTGTATTTATTGATGAGATACTTTTTAGTTTGGTTAAAGTATAATAATAAGCATATTGTGTACTTAAATGAGGAACCGTGAGGATGTGTTCTTACCGAATGAGGATTCTTTGAAGTAATCATGTTTACTGTTTAGCCTAAAGTACCTATGTTCAACGACTCCAATCTGTTGCTGTTTAGGTGTAACTGGTCAAGGCCCTTGTATCGGTACCTGTTCTGTACCTATCATGTTATCTAGTCTTAGAGAAGTATGCTAAGAATGCAATGTAGGGTTAGAATTATTAAATATACCTGCTGTTGTGTGTGGGATCACTCATAGAATAGATCACTAATTTAAGATCAGTACCTTATTCATACTTTTAGTGTTATCGGTTCTCTGAGCAGCGTGCTAACAATGCATCGTGCGATTACATTCATAGAATATACCTGATGTTGTGTGGGGACACTTGTAGAGTAGATCAGGTGTTTGAGATTAGTCTATGGAGTTTAGTCTAGGTTGAATTGCCTTTCAGTGAATTGTATTTTGTAAATTTGAGACTGGTCACTTGTTAGCTGTTAGATTGGGGCTAAGTTTTCTGTATGATCTAAAGTTTATAATATAGGTTGTTAAATGCTAAGTAGGTTATTTCAGTTAGCATATTTTACCTTTGGCATGTATCTTCAACTCCTTCAAATTATTAGGTTGATAGTCTCAAGAATGAGAGCAATCCTATAGTTTCATCCATATTGTAGCCATATCAACGTGATAATCTTATTTGTTGGTTGCCATTAGATCTTGTTTGGCCTTTAGGAAGTTAGAGCTGCAATATTCAGTTTTTCATCACCATAAATCTCTCTGTGAATTGGTCATGTTGAGCAGCCATGCAACATCAAAAAGTCTACTTGTTTATGATGATGCACATTAATTATTTTAGTTATCTCATTGGGTTCTAAGGCTTAAAAGTTTGGACCTTGATGCCCATCCTGACAAGTGACAATTCTGTGAAGGTATCACTCTCCCAGCACTATATTGGCATAACCTTAGGGTTGCATAAATAGGAAAGTAAGCTCCTTTGGCCATCATTTGAGATATATTTTACAGTTGGTTTCTAGAAATCTGTCTTTTACACATTGGAGTAGCTATTTTGATTGCTCTGCCTGGGGCACGAATCTAAATCTAGATAGCAGTTTTTTACTTGTCAAGACTGGCCTTAAGACACTTTGAGATTGTTAATTTTCATTATTGCAAAGTTCCTCTCTTCTCATGAACCATATCATTGTTAGTTTGATTTTAATTTTCAGATAATTGTCTCGTACTCCGTAAAAGTCAGCTAAATGTTATGTGCTACTGTTGCCAACAATTTGGGGAAGAGGTGTGCTTTTAGTTTGGTTTTGCTTTGAATGCAAGCTCAGATGCAATCTGTTTTCTATAGTTCGACATTTAGGATTGTATAATTCTTTGGAATTTCTTACATGATGCTCTTGTCTTCTGGACGAGCCTGCCCCACTTCATGTCTTTGGAGGCTGGTGATGATTAGAATTGCAGTCTAGTTGTAACTTTGTCACTGGTCTTTGGCTGAGCTTGCCTGTTATTTTTTACCTGACTTCTACTTTCAGATGCCGAGTTTAAGAACACAGGATTGGAACGATCACAGAGTTTGGCTAAAGATCTGGAGTGGTTCAAAGAGCAAGGCCATTCTATTCCTGAGCCTTCTGAGCCCGGTGTTACATATGCTAATTATCTCGAAGAATTAGCGAAGAAGGATCCTCAGGCATTCATTTGCCATTTCTATAATGTATATTTTGCCCACTCTGCTGGGGGCCGCATGATCGGAAGGAAGGTATGTTATTACGTGTTTAGTAGTCCTAGCTTTGCATTACATATCTATCATGTAGTTGTATTTCAAATACTGATTCTTGAATCTGTTAAGAACTTAAGATTATGTGCTGCCAGATATAATTTTAGGGCCTGATAGCTCCTCTGCATGTGTCAGTTTTCCTGTTTTCGTCTACATGATTTTCTGATACCCATGCTTGATCCGAGGTGACATGAAGACTCTCAGTAGCATAGGTTTTTGTTGCTCTCAGTTAAATCTAAGCAGTCTGATATCTTAGTGCCTAATGTTTAAACTTTAAAGATTATAGTACACTTGCGGTTTGGAATCCTCTTTCATTGCTTATACCCTGATCTACAAAAACGATACCTCCTCCATCATGGACCAGGTGTCATAGTTTCTGTTCTTGGTTGTCTGAAATCCTTGCCTATGGTTCTTCTGTACAAGAAAACTTTACTCATGCACCAATTTATATTTACTAGCCAACTGTGACTTATCATATGACTAGGAACGTTACTTATGCAACTGTCTTTGGATATTTGTTGTTTTTCTACTTTTCACATCTCTCGTGTTTTATGCTATTTTGTTTTTAATCTGTGAAATGTAGAAGTTGTCGTTTGGGCTGCACCCAGGGGTTGTAATAGTGAGACTAATAAGTAAATATTGATGATGTTGCTATCCTTAGGAGATGACTAGTTGAACAATGAGCAACACTTATGGGTTTTCGTTTTACTGTTCCTTTATTCAAATAATGATTTTCTAACTGGAACATAACTGAGATCACACAGTTGATGTAGTTCATTCTGCTACCTAATATTATTATGGTGGTAGTCGTCATAAAAAAAAATTCTGGACAGGAAATCATAAGATGAAGTAGACTTGTCTACTTTTGAGGGTCGCAGTTCCATTTATTTATCATCCCTCTCTGTGATAGGTTTCGGAGAAGATACTGAACAAAAAGGATTTGGAATTCTACAAGTGGGATGGTGACCTTTCTCAGTTGCTCCAGAATGTGAGGGTGAAGCTAAATAAAGTTGCTGAAGTATGTCTCATTTTCTTACCCTCCATATTTGGAAAACTTTGTTTTCAATTATTTCAGTATTTTTCCTTTTTTTAAAATAACATGTACAACGATTTGGGCAACTTTTGGGATAATCCTATTTTGCTAGTTAGTAGAGTATTAATCTAGTTAACCCCACCTGCTGCAATGTTTAGTGTATTACTCATAAATATCCTTTTTGGAGAAAACAATTGATATGAAACTTCAACAACCCGAATATAGAAAGCTCTATTAAATTCGTGTTGATTTGTTTTGCAGAGCTGGACAAGAGAAGAAAAGAATCATTGTTTAGAAGAAACTGAGAAGTCCTTCATGTACTCAGGGAAAATCCTGCGTCTCATATTCACATAAACCGTGAAGCTGCCTCATCACTGGGTTTTCTCGTTGGTCCTTCAATGGTGCAAACGCATCATCACTTGTTTATATCACTCAACATATGTTTTCTTTGTTCTATTTGTTTTTCCTATATTCTGTAAGAAAACTCAGGTTCACAAATGTGCATATATCAAGATTCAGGTTTCACAAAGCTGTTTCAATATGTTTAGTTGCTGCAGTACCCTATTTGGTCTGGTTGAGGTTTTTGCCTATACTCTCGAGTCTCGGCATTAAGTTCTACTGTGAAACTAGCTAACCATTGGTGTAACATCGGATTCGTATACAAGCATGCACATATATCAGCCGCGAATATAATCCTTTTGTCCAAGCTATAAACTTGTGTTTTAGCTGTAGTATGGTTGTTCTTCACTAAACTGTTGCAGTTTTAATGAATGATGTATAAAAAGATAAGAATATAAGATGCATCTCATGGATCTCTATACTACGTAACATGGTATCACAAACAAATTTAAGTAAGTTTTTGGCCTGTGACAAAATTACTTAGGTTTAAAAATTTACTCGTAAAAATTAGTTGGTGATAAATCTTTGGGATTGATGAACACGCTGTTCCTCGTGTTACTCAGTAGAAGAGGGAATAAAAAATTTAATTTAACTAATCTGCACTTGAAATCCCTGGAGTGCCACGCGCAACACGAGCGTTTATGATGTGTTAACAAAATAACTACTGAGTACCAGCTGCACAAAATAAAATAAAAAATAAAAAAAAATAACACTGACTACCCTGTAGGGCAGTAGAGTAAACGAACGAGCTCGAACAAAAGTTTTACTGGTTAGGATAGAATATGGGAAAGAGTACAATTAGGATGTTGAGTCGATACACTTGTGAACAACTTGTAAAAAAAATCGGTTTGTTGCTTATAAATTAATATGCCCGACAAAAATATTTGAAGCTCGTGTTATAAACAAGCCTAGTTCGATCCAAACAATTTAGGACGAAGTATTCAACTCGTTTAGGCTCTACTTATCCATGTTTTGTATGTATAGTGTGCTTGTTTGTGCTCATTTAAAACACGTTCAACCTCAAATTTTAAAAATCATAATATTTGTGATCATTATTTTATTTTCATACATGAATTATATAATTACAAAAAAATTAAAACTGTGTTTTTATGTTAGAGATATGAGATACGTAGTATATACATTTCCGACTATATCTTATATCTCTAACATGTTAAAATGGTACTATAACAATAATACTAAGTAGTAATATTCACGTGATCACTCCGAAATTCCGAATACTTCGTACTATCAATAAAATTGTCTTTTTTATCAAATGCTTACAACCAACTAATCCCTATGACTTATGAAAAGTTTGCTCATTAGACATTTAGTCATCTTAAAATAGGCCTAACTAAGAAATTATCTGACAAAGTTATAAAAGAGTATTTGCCATTTTTTATTTTGTAATTACATAATTAATTCACCCCTTGAAACCTTGATTAATAAAAAATAAAAATGGTTTTTTTACTCAGGATTTATGTGGGATTTATTACAAAAACGTGTAGCTGAAGCTGGCTGCTAACATCTGTTCTGTTTCTGTATAAATAAGAACTGTCTTCCTGCTTTTAATTCACAATCAAACCCCATTTTTCACCCATAAATTTCCTGATCATTGTACAAAAAAAGTATATTCCTTTTTTTTTTCTTTGAAAAAATGGTCAGACTTCACATTTTCTTGGCCATTTTTTCCATCATCTTCATCCACGCTTCATCATCTTCACCCATTCCTGCTACTGAATCAACACTCCCTCTTTTTTCTCTCAGGATTAAGCCTAATCAGGTGATTAATTACTATCTTTAATTATATATATATTTTTAATTTTATTTATTTATTTATTTATTTATTTTTATTACCCATTAAAGTATGATCTAATCACTTTTTCAAGATTTTAGCTTTTTTGGGTGCATTATTTTTGTGATTAATTGTTCTTTATTATCAAAATTTTAGACTACTGCTTCAACCTGCACTTTTAGAGTTCGAATTACAACAAGCTGCAGTTCTGTCTCATACACCAGGGATCAAATTAGTCTTTCTTTTGGTGATGCTTATGGAAATCAGGTATTTGACTCAAAATTTTGATGTTACATTTGTTCAATTTATATGATAAATTGTTGATTTTTATTTGTTATCTGGATTTAATGCCCACCTAATTATGCAAAGTCAAAATTGGGATAATGGGGTTTTGCCCTTTTAGTTGTTGACTTAATTAGTGATTGGTATTTGGTAATACTCAGATTGATACCCTGCAATTGGAAAGAGGAGATAATCAGATTTTGTTTAGTGGGTATTTTGCAGATTTTAGTTTGATTAATTATTGATGAATGAATAAGGAATATCCTAAATTTGAGAAAATTTGGAGCAGATATGTAGAAATAAGATGGAGATTGAGAAAATCAGATAAACCCATGAAAGAAACATTGAAATGTGGTTAGTGGGTATGCTATATGTATTACTGATTGGTACATTCTGGTAAAATAATAGGTGTATGTGCCGAGGATTGATAATCCGTCGGCTCGTGCTTTCGAGGCGTGCTCCACGGATACATATGATGTAAACGGACCATGTACATATGATGTATGCTATGTGTACCTATACCGGAGGGGACGTGATGGCTGGAAGGTACAGAATGTGCAAATTTCCAGCCCTTATATAAGGACTGTGACATTCAAATACAACACATGGATACCAAACGATGTTTGGTTCGGGTTCAATTATTGCAATGGTGCGTCTGCCTCTTCGTTAATGTAGATCCAGAGATGATGAGTAATTGAGCTGTCATGATATACAATAAAACCAAAATCTTGCTTAAATTATCTTTCTAGTACTATTATGTTTTTTTGACAGTTGTGTATTTGAGATTATTCTGCACCTTTGGTAAAATTAAACTTTGTTAGATGACTTATATCTCAATACCTGTGCTAAGTGGCCTGGTGTTAGTTCATGCTAAATTTATTCGGATTACTTTTCATGTGGCACGTGATGTCTAACTTAGCTTCTTTTTTAAGCTTCTTATCTGATCTTTGTTACAGTAATGGATAGCTTCGCAAGACCATATCTTTTAGTATTGCCAATAAGCATCTATTGCTATCTGTGCTGTTACAGGGATTCTGGATTCATTATTGGTCATATTCTTGTAAGTTGTGAGGCATTTGGACATAAGATTCTGCGTAGGAATTGCATGAGAAATTATTCTTCCCCCTAGTGTTATGGTGTTATGATCTCTTTTCTTTTGGAGTGCGAAAAAAGAAGGAAATATTGTCTTATCAACTTGCTAAGGTTGAAAACTTTTGTTTCTAGTTTGTCGAGATAGGACAAGGAATAGGGTTGTAAAAATGGTTTCTTGAGGTTCAATCTTCAATGATAAACCTTCATAGCAACGAGTGGTAAGAACAATTCATTGTTAGAATGAACTATGATGCCCCCACAAAGAAAACCTTTGAATTGGCATGGCTGGTCCTGCAGAAAGACCCAAACTTCAAATTCCTCAAGAAGCTACTGTTTTGTTTGCACATAGAGAAAAGTGAGCATTAAGGAAGAGGAGAGTAAAGAGTCGCCAAAGACAGTGGCCCGTGTTGCTGATCCCTTGTATCATGGTATCACTTGAGATATAGGTTTCACCTGTCTTGAAATGTCCAAATTATCCAAATTCCCTACTCTATTGTCCCTACTACCTCATTGAAATGGAAGGGTTTAAGAAAGAGAGCATTCTTGTCATTTTTTTTCTCAATTGCTTTTATGCTCTCACCTTCCTTTTCAAGGAAACTTTGGGGCAAATTATTGAAGAGCGAGAGGAAAGAGACGTCTTTTCTGGTCTTCCCCCTTTCCTCTCTTAGCTTGTTAGATAGGTAAGTAAATTTCTGTATAAGTAAGTGGAACTTTGGTTATAATCCCACCCCATGAGACAGCCAACAAGTTTCAGTTTCTAAATTCTGGATTACCTCATAATGAAGCACATTATCTATCACATTTTTAGTCATTTTCCTATACATACCATGTTGGAATACGTATGTTCTGATTTGGTAACATCAGATTAGAAGTCTTCAGAAATGAGAGTACAGCCAAACCTCTTGGCTGAACGCTTAAACATTTGATGCTCTGAAAATCAAGGCACTCAGATAACATGAGCCAAGCCAAAGAGGTTTGGTTATGCTCGTTTCTATATCCTTTATGAATCCAGTAATCCCACATTCAGCTTAGCTTACAGTCACCATAATTTGAGCTATAGTTTATACGAAGTACATGATCTGACCCACTATTATTCTTGGTGACTGCAGGATCATCCTCTCGAGGGTATAATAAACCTCAGTTAAGCACCCTTATCATGACCATTGTGGCCCTGCTGTTTTTTGTGCTCGAATGGTTCTTGTTTTGAAACATTAGAATTGGGTATCAGAGCAGAAGGGCGTTCTTTTATTGCCTTATGTTGCTGGTAATCAAACCACAAAATAGGATAATGTGGTGTTGCTTTGTGTTTTTTTTCCTTCACCCTACTAGGTTACAACTTACAAGTTGTTCTACTCTAGATTTTTGGCACCATGTTCTTTCTGTATTTGTCTACTTTGCTGCTATAAAACTTTGTAAATAATTCTAAGATGTGTCTTGGAGAAGGTTTTTTTTTTTTTTTTTTTTTTTTGGAGCTTATGTTTTTTGTACTTATTGGACATGTATAATGGGTACTCTATGTGTTACTATCTACCAAATGTAGCAAAATTAGCCTGGCCGATCCTCACAGAACCAAACAATATGTGGACTATAAATACCAGACTCGAACATCTAGCAAATTCAACCTTTTCGATACCAAACGAAACATAAGGATGCTACTATTTGACGACAAATCATAGCTCAAAATGATAACTTGATCCGCTATCTTAATTTACACATTGACAATGTTGATGTAAATTTGAAATGGCAAATATCATCACCGATTATAAAGAATGAGATACTGACAAGTTTAGTAGCAGTACTGTCTAATGCATGTACTTCGCTAAATTAACAACATGATTGACTCGTGACCTTCCTCAAAACTAATGAAATATGATATGGCCCTTGAATGATTGTACAAATCCAAAGGTTAACATTGAGGATTTCCTTCATTGGTTTAAATGATATCCATAGATTTCCATTGTTTGGTATTCCATTTTTCAGTTGTTCCTTATTCACACCATTAGCGTCTGTAGCTCAGTGGATAGAGCGTCTGTTTCCTAAGCAGAAGGTCGTAGGTTCGACCCCTACCTGACGCGATATTTTATTTTTATTATCTCTTTTTATCCTAAGTACGAACTAATTATATTTCCTCCTAACAAATAACCATCATCAGCGTCTGTAGCTCAGTGGATAGAGCGTCTGTTTCCTAAGCAGAAGGTCGTAGGTTCGACCCCTACCTGACGCGTAAAAATTCAATTTTTATTTGCCTCTTATTTTTTTTAAAAAAAAATTAGTTATTAATTATCCTAATGAACGTTTATGATCAATTATCATGTTCTTGCATTCACAAGCTGACCTTTGTACTTTGTATTAAAGCGCGATACTAGTTTAGTGAAAAACCATTAATCAATAACACGATAACAATTTGCAAAACTGTTGTACTTTGCTACAACATACAGAGTTACAACGGAATACTAGCTTAGTAAAGAAAGACATCAAGCAACTATCAAATGATATACGATGAAATACTATCTAGGGATCTGTAGTGATTCTATACCCCTGCTTCAAATGTGTCCTTTCAAAGACCTCCTTCATCGAAGGTACTCATGAATCCACCGATAAAGCCAGCTCCATTGCAGTCTCCACACAGAATCTCCTTTTTACCTCTGAAAATGAGGAAAGATTTGCTTAAGTTTTTAGGTGAAAAGTATTGGTAAGTACTTCCATACATAAACATGTCTACATATTGTAATATGGGTTGATAGCATACCTGCAAAGCCAGCATAATGCACCGGCCTTAAACTGTCCATTAAAATGATCTTGGGAGTTCACACCAGCTCCTTCACACTGTGAACATACCTTAGCACCTAGCAGTTTAAAGAAAATGGTTGATGTTAGAAGGTTATTAGTCCCATCATTTCATCGCATTTTCAATGGACATGCATTGAATAGAAGCAGGGAACAAAAAAGCTGTAGTTTTGATATCTGTCCAAAAATATTAAACATCACAATGAGCAATGGTTTATCAGAGATGGGTTGGTGCAGAGAATTCAGAGATTTTAGCTCCTAATCTTAAGCAAATAATATGGGAACTAAGAGTTGTCAAATGATAATCACAAAAGGAGTGGATGCTACACACTGCCGAAATTTGAAGATATGATCACAAACGAGCAAAATAAGTCCGGTTAGTAAAATATGTTCAACATACCATTTCCATCACATGCAGCACACACTATGCTATTCACCTTGGTACCTGCACTGCCTCTGTAAGACTTTTGATCTGCCGCCTGTTCAATCCAGAAAATATGGTTAATATTGTGGAAAACTAAGCATATAATTACGTACAGAGTATTTATGAATCGATAAAGAAACTAAGATCTACCAATCCTTACAAGCTCAGCATACATATGATACTCAAGACCGTTAAGCTTTCTATAATTCCTAGACAAAATGCCATCCTTGAAAATCGATTTAAGTAGTGGCACTTAGATTCAGGGGCACTTAAACTAAGGGAAAAGGTTATCTTTAAATAAAATTGAAGTTTCCTTGTTCATTGAATTTCTGGCTGGCATTTTCTTCAATGTATAAAAAAGCTCAAGGCGCACTGAAGCGAGAGGGGTTCTGCTGCGCCTAAGGCGCGCCTCAGTGCGCCTCTTTGAAGTGAGGCGCAGTATATGGGCAGTTAAAAATTTTTGGCTGAAGTTTGCTTCAAGTGCGCCTCATGTGCGCCTCGGGTGCACCTCATGAGCTTTTGGTGCGCCTAACCCAAAATGCCTCGCCCAGACCAAATTAAGCGTTCACCCCTGATCGCCTTGCACCTCAGCCTTAGGCGCACTTTTTCAAGCACTGATTTTCTTCATCAAAATTATTGCTAATTTGATTATCAATTCCACAATTAGCAAAACTTACATAATGAAGGTCTTAATCAAACAACTAATATACTATAAACACATTAATTTTAACTTAATACTCAACAAATGTCAAAAAATTATCTTAGGCAACTCCACAATACACAAATACCTCCATTAACGAGCTAGTATATTGCATACAAGTTATGTCACCCTAATCACATACTATTCAATCCTGTGTGAAATTAACTTTCAATTAATATGGCAACAAAGCATGTTGTATACAATACACCCGTTATATCTAATTAATCACACATAAGTCAATCCATTGCAACACTAACGTTCAAGTGATACGGGTAATAGAGCATGTTGTATACAATACACCCGTGATATACACGATTTTGCCATATGCCTAATACTCAATTGACCCATGACCGAAAATGAAGTGAACATCCAAAAATATTGAAGAGGGTATCTCACCTTAACCTCAAGAGACTGAAATCTTGCAGTACCCAATTGGGGTTGTCCTTTAACAAACGTTACAATACTAGAATTGCCAATCAAAACCCCTGCAACAACAGTGATAAAACAAAAAGAAATGTTAATAAAAGTAGTCAACTTTATGACAAAATTCAGCAATTTTAATAAATTTCATAGATGAAGAATGAACCTGGTTTAGTTGGGGTGCTGCTAACAGCAGTTAAGGGAGTGAAACATAGAGATTGCGCCATTGAATTGTAGAGAGAGAAAAAGAGGAAGAGAAAGAGAGTGTGTTGAGTGTAGAGTAGTTAGGTGGTTGCGAGGGAAATAAAGGAGCTAAGATAAGGTAAGGTAGTATCTGAATTTCAAGATCACCTCAAATATCTAGATATTTACCCCCACTTTTTTTTTTTTTTTTTTTTTCTATTTTTTTTTTTTTTTTTTTTTTGTTTGCCTTCTCAAATTTCCTTTTCAAAGGGAATAGATGCTTAGATACTTGTAGTATTCTCTTAAAATTTCCTTAAAAATAAAAATAAAAAATAGTATTCTCTCAAAAAAAAATAGTTAGATACTTCGTAGTATTGTAGTAACAGTAATAAGACTTTAGACTTATAATTATGGATTAATAAATGACGGTATTAGGTGTAACTCCATCTTCAAATTTGTGTTTTTTTGGTTAATTTAGAGATTATCATTACCTTTAGAGTGGTAATGAGAGTCCTTCATAAATGGTAAGAGACTAGTGATCGAACGTAGTCTTGGGTGTCTGGTGTCCTCCAAGGTCTTATTCGTGTGTTTGTAATCATAACAAGTCTTTCCAACAGATATACAATGTCTCAAGAATAAGGTTGGTGAAAAAATGTGGTTGTTTTGAAATTTTTGTTACATTTGGTAGTCAAAAGCTGTAAGAGATGGTTTTAATCATCAACTTGGCATCATGGGATTCAATAATAAGGTTTCGAATAACCTAGTCATTTTGTCAACTCTAAAATGGTTATCAAAAGGCAAAATTTGAAGACTATAATTCACGAAATTAGACCATTTTTAGAGATTCCGAAATTCGGTGTAGAAAACTCAAATGGTGGCAGAGAGACATCACAAAGTCATATAATGTTGTTTGGAACCATATACATCTATTAGTCATTCACATAAAGGCTTGTAGTGTCCTTGAATGAATGAACGGAGGCACACACATAATTGACTAAATTGATAATTTAAAGACAAATTGGACAATTACAATCACCCAAATGGTCTATCTGAAAAAGTCGAAAATTATCCAAAATTAAAGGTTATAATCTACGTTTTTTAAAATGTACTTTGAGGATAATATTAGAAGGTTATAATTCAGGGAATCCAACCCATATTGTATTTTGAACATAGATTATTGGTCAAGAACTGGACAAGAGCTCAACTTTAAGACAATATACTAGAAAATTCAATAAATTTTACAGACAAAGAAAGAATTTTATCTGGGTGTTTATGGAGTTTTAACATAGTAGTGTTCATCAAACTTCAGTAATCTGCAAGATTTAAGCTTGCTTTGTTGATATTATGAAGTAACACTGAGGGCAAACTTGTAAATCCTATCCCTCGAGCTAACTGTTTTTTATCAGGAAAGCAACAATCTTCTACCTTCCATTTATATTTTGGGCACAAAATCCAAAGAGGGTAAACTTCAGTTTCATCAGAAGCCAAAGAAGAGAGAAAATGGCCAGTGCTCTCTTCTTGGCGACTCCACTTTTCCAACCTTCTCAGAGTATGTCATTTCCCCTTTTTTCTGTTTATAATACATAATTGCTTTATTGTTATTATTTTATAATTCTAATTTCTGTAATATAGATGTTTGTAATATGTTTGTTGTTCATGTAGTCGACCCATCTTTTTGTGATTACGGCTTTAAAAATGTCATCTTTGATTAACTCTGTAAATGTTATATGTAATCAAAACTTGAAATTGTGGGTAAAAAACATTAATTTTGCTTGATTTCATGTCCCAAATGACAATTTGGAATGACATCAAAATTGGAGATCTTTTGACAACAGTTCGAGAGTATAAAATGGGAGCTTGATTATGTGTTGTTTTATGCAGATAGAGAAGTAAGTGGAAGAGTAATATGTAAATTCAATAGTTCAATCTTTGGGGAATTGGTTAGACAACCAAGACTTGTTCACAAAGGAATTACTCAGAGCTACAAAAATAAGAGTATCTCCATTACTTCATTGGTAACGAATTTATTGTCTTTCCATATTAATGTATTGTGAACTGTGATGCATTATTCTATTCAATTCGATGCGTATAAGTTTGGTGGGCGACTTCTCCTATTGCCAATTGGTTTTAGGATAGAAGCTGACGAGTGCTTCATTTAGGCCCTACTAATAACATCAATTATAGGAATGAAATATGAGAGTTGCTTCAGGATAGCTTGATGGGTATATAAAAGAATTTGTGCTTATACATAAATCAGCCAAGTAATCAAGTGAGGTGACTTTTTTGCAGTTTGGAAGGAAAGTGAAAGCTAAGACCAAGAGGGAAACTGTGGTACCAGAACCAGATTATCGGATACCTATCGTTCTACTTGGTGGGTTATTCAGCATTTTCCTTGTATTCCATTGATGTATTGCTTTATCTGTGCTCCTATGTATGTACTAAGTACTTGTACATTTGATACTGTTATAGTTAGCATGAAAACCTTTCCCATAGTACATTTTGAAGCATATCATATTTGGAGCATTAGAATTTCTTGTTATAATATATTCTTTCTGTTTTAATTGAGACTACGAGAACATTTGCTAGCTAACCACTTATACATGTCTTTTCTGCCTGCCTTCATTTGTTTTCTGAGTTTCTTTGTTATTGATTCTTCTATGGTAACAGGTGCAACAGGGGCTTTAGTTTATACTGACAATCTAGTAGCAGCAGTACCAGTTGGTCTTCTTGGTTTACTCCTCCTAGTTCAGGTATTGTAAGGATTATCACATTTCATAGGTGAATATGAAGGCACTGTTGATCATCGATTTCTTCCTAGTGTGTCAGTTCGATTTGGAAGCCTAGTATATCGAATATTTTTCATCTTCTGAAAGATTGTATTGCAATGTATAACATTGACTTCAGCAGTTAACCGTGTTCAATTCCTCAAATTCCAGGCTACAAGGGTCAGATTTGTCTTTGATGATGAAGCTCTGGTTAGTCTGCACTTAGCTCCCCAAAATATTGTGGTTCTTTCCTGCATCTGTTACATTGCTCTAAAACATCAATATTCAACTTTTTCTTTTTCTTTTTTTTTTTTTTTTTTTTTCTTTTTTTTTTTCTGATTGTATGATTGTAGGAGGTGAAAGTGGGTTCTGAGCTTCAAGAATCTGGAGAAAATGTGTTTGTGGGCGGCAAGAATCGTTGGAAGTAAGTACATCTACACTAACAATCAATGAAATTCATAGCTGGCTAGTTAACCACTGAGACACGTTGCAGGTACTCCACATTCGTAAATTGGGAGTTCTGGTGGCCTAATTTCCCTATTTTGGTGTATTTCAAAGAAACACAAACCAAGCCTGAAGGGCAAATTCACTTCTTCCCTATAATATTTGTAAGTAATGAGTTTACAATCTCCAGTTTCACCTGGTTTTGAGTCTTTTGAGTTTTGACTGATTAGAAAAATGTGTGCTGAAGGAAGAAAAGTGACAGGAAGATCTTGTTTTCAGTTTTTCTTATGTTAGATTTGCATGTTTATCACAGAAATCCCTTTCGTCGGAGTCATAATAAATGAGAATTTTCCTTTGTGCAGATTAAATTTAGATGTAAATGTTGAAATGAAACTTAGTTTGTTTGTTTTTTTTGTTTTTTTTTTCCCTGGTGAACAGAACGGAAAACAACTCTATGATGTCATGGTAGAGCGAGCAGGTTCCTCAAAAACCAGTGGCCCAAAATGAACGTGAAGAATCGAGTTCAATCTGTGAGTTAAGGTTATGAGTAGAATGGCATGAGGCATGACCACAGAAATCGAGTGCCGATAAATGATAATCCAAATTTATTCACTTACACTGTTATTCAATTCTGAATCTCACTTGAGAGCATCTCAAAGCTTTGCATATAATAACTCTGTATCTATTGTTCCCAAACGTCCCACAAGACAGAACTGACGTACTGATACCTTTTAAATACAATTTTTCAGTTGCGAACATTTAAATTATTCTTTGGCGTAAATGAATTGTATGATTCTTTCATTTTATTTTCTGATAAGCATTTTGCATGGTCTTACTTTTGCTGAAGTGCTTCTGCTGCTGTATACTGATTGTTATACAGAGCAGGTCCTTCACACAAAATAAAACTATGGCTGATAAGAAAGTAAGGATATTTAGTGTTTGGGGGAAGGGGGGAGGTTAGCAATGATGAAACAGACCTTTGGATAGCCTGAGCTGTGAAAAATTTCCTAGCCTCCCGTGTTCCAGAATATGGAGTTTCGGCATCATCATGGCTGAAATGGGAATTTACTGTCCTAGCTGCTTCACAATGCAGTGTTTAAATGAAGTCTCAATGTATAAATTGATCTCTTTTGCATGTATACTACGGAGTATTTGGGTTTCTTTAGGAAATTCTGGTCTGTATTTACCTCCAGATTCTTATCGTTTTCTTTTACCCATTTACAAACCCTTCAAGCCAGTTAATATTAGGACCTCTCTCTAGGAAGTGTCATTTATATCTCTATGGATTGCCTTCAAACATATTCCAGTACTTGCTGCCTAATCTCAAGAATAATCTAATTACACAATTCTATTACTCTTCAAAGCTCGATCATTTCAGGAATATTTGAATCTTTCTGCTCGTGATGCTTAATATACAAGGAATCCTGCCAAAAAGAATTTCTGAAACGAAAGTACAAAACTATCATATATGACGTATAAATTATAATGGATCCAAATTCAAGAACCAGTTTCCGGTCATATATGAAGTATGAATTGACATTACACAAAATGTGAACACATTACAGGACATGGATCAAAGAATAATCATTAGGACATTAAAGAATCAATTACAAGTCCACAAGGAGCTAAGTAGGTCCGCTTTAAAGTTTCAACCTCCAGCGCTTCTCAGATCAGTAGTTGATCGTGTAAATTGCAGACAACAATTTCCCACAATTATAAATAATCTCGCCTTGGCTGACCCTCAACAGAGAAACCGCCACAATATCAGTCAGCTAATCAGTTATCTACTTATCTGGTCATCAACAAAAAGTTCCCCTGCTGTCTCACAGCTCTCACTTCATGTGTTTGTTCTGAGTTTACCATAGTGATTCTGTTACAGTGTTACAAGTTTCTCACTAGAGTAGACTAGACTCCAATATTTCGGGCAAGAAATTTCGGTAATACCTCATTTCTTCTTGGTACAGTGAGCATCAGTACCATGCATTGTGCACTGATCATAACCAACAGTCTCAAGGAAGGCCCGGATTTCTTTGGCCGTTGTGTTGCTTGCTTGCAACAAGCGTTCATCTTCCTCATATATCAGATAAGGGGCTTCAGCTCCTTTTCTTGAGAGCAGCTTTTTGGCACCCTTCAAAACATGATATTCCCAGCCCTGTACATCAATTTTTAGCAGCAGCACAGGCTCAGAGTCTGGGATAATTTCATCAAGAGGAATGGTCTTTACTTCAACCGCTATCTCTTCATTTGATTTGAATGCCAACTTCGCACCAGCAGCAGAAACAGCACTATTATCTAACCGGCCAACTAACTGTCAATCACAAGGAATATCAATATAAGGATCAAGAATACATAATTGTATACAGTGATTAGGAAACATTGGAAAATTGCTATATATACTTGTGGCTTTGTTATCTTTCATAACCCAGAGGGTCAAGCAACATAAGTATAACAGTGAAACTGATCAAGCTCTTGGATTTTGATTTACAGTATGTTTGGTTGGTGCAGCAAAAAATTCAGGGCATTGACAGCAATATATTAATTCACAGGACAGTAGAAAGTGTTGGGAGAGGATTTACATATCAATAAAATCACATATAACTTATAGGAGGAGTTCAGGATCACACTAAAACTCAACCATAATTTGGTTCACCAGGAGAGAAACATTAGAAATAAACAAAAAATTAGAAGTTAAACCATGGTGCAGGCCTGCAGGGCAAAATCCTTATGGGATATGCACACCCCTCTACTTTCTCAACAAGGTCAGGCCTGTTACAGAGTGTAGGAGTGCGAGAGTACAAGGAGCAAATACCTCAAAACATGTCCTATTGGGTATTACTTATACTTCACACGGCAATCTAATATTTGTCCAACTATCGTTTCTCACTCTTGAACTCAAAATGACTACATATACATGTACCGTATGTATAGGAGGCTGGGTAAATGAAGCTATCCTGAACAAACAGGGACCTGAAGTTTCAATCCTTGTAAATTCAATAGCAAATTAAACCATGGTGCAGGTCTGCGGGGTAAAACCCTTATGGGATATGCACGTCCCTCTATTTTCTCAACATGGCCAAGCCCGTCGCAGAGAGAGCTAGTAGTGCCTAGTGCAAGACTACAAGGAGCAAATTCCTTAAGATTAAGTCCTATTAGGATACTACTCATACTTCACAAGGCAATCCAATATTTGTCCAACTATTGTTTCTCACTTTCTCTTAAACTCGAAATGATAACATATACATGTACTGTGTAATGAAGCTGTCCAAAGCAAACAAAGACCTGAAGTTTCAATCCTTGTAAGTTTAAAGGCATGTACTCTAATCCTTTGACATATCTGGTAACTCCTTCCTATTAATCAGATATCCAACTCAGCAACCATACTATGTCCTACCCGAGTTGAAATTTCCGAGCATTCTGAGGAATCAAATCTACATTACATACAAAAATACACTCTAACTGTCTGTAACACAAATTAGAATCCAAAAATGTGCACCTTCATGTTTAATCACTCACAGGATATAGCAAATTGCTCCTGCTAGAATGTAACATCCTACAAAACAAGAGCATTCATTCTACAGTTCCATGTACAGAAAAAAATCCGAGCATAGTCGAAATTCTAATTCATCAATCACCTCTTCCATGTCATAAAAAAATGAAGCGCCACCAAATTTATATAAAGCTAAGTCACAGACTGTCATGTCAATTTCAATCACCATGCACCAAAATCATACAATGCATGAATTTCCAACATGTGATGATCAATGAAGTTTTAAATTACCAAAGACAATCCAATTCACTACAATGTCCAATTTCTAATGAATTCCTAACATCATAAATAAAAAAATAAAAAAATAAAAAAATAAAAAAAACCGCAGCTATATACCATCAATTTGAATAAACATACACCAAATTCTTCAAATTTAACATGTAAAAAATCCCAAATTCATAAAAACCCACAAATTATATCACCAAACCTTTAAACAAAATTAAATTTAAAAAAAAAAAAAAAAATTACCTTATGGAAAGTAATGCTCCCGAAATGATCAGATGCAGCAGCTTCAAAAACAGTAACAAAATCCCCAACTCGATTAAAATAAATCCCATCACAAATCCTCTGTAAATTCTCAAAAACAGGCTCAAATGCCAAAACCCGAAAACCCATCACAGCAGCAGCAAAACTAGCCATACCCACATTAGCACCAACATCAACAAAAATCCCATTTTTACCCTCAGCCTGAAACTTACCCAAAACCTCTTGAACAGTAGCAGAAATATCAGGCTTTTTAAAGGGTTTATTCTTAAGAATTCTCTGAATATTTTTATGGGGTTTTTCAGGCAAATTTCCAAGATCAGAGAGTGAGTAAAGAAAAGGGTATTTAACACCTTCAACAATGTTTGCAATTACAGGGTGAGATTGCGGAGATTTGAAGCAATTATAAGGTGGGATTTTCGAGGTGAAAGAAGAAAGAGAAAGTTTGACATCTGGGGTTGGATTGGAAGTGAGATTTGAGGGTTTAGAAGCGAGGAAGAAGAGGAGAAGAAGGAGGAAAGAGAGAGAAAGGAGTAAGAGGAATGAATTTGGGGATAAAAGTTTAAGAGATCTTTCTCTTTTCCAGGCGTTTGCCATGGATGAAATTGATGGAGAAAAACGATTTTATGAGAATTTCTGGGAATTTTTTCTGGGTTGATTTGAGGAATAAACACGATGTAATTGATGGAGGAATGAGTTTATGAGGATTTCTGGGAATTTTTTTCTGGGTTGGTTTGAGGAATGAACACGAAAAGGTGTGTGAAACTGTGATGAGAGTGATACTGTGATGAGAGTGAAAAGTCTGGTGACCGATAGAAATTGCCAGTTCATCGTATCCAAATTACTAGTACAATTTTTTTAATGCTTGGGTTGTTATGGGGTTCGACCGTTCAATTGCAAATTTACAATACACCTAGCTCTGGAGTTACCCAACAAATATAAAATGCTTTGATTTCTATACTTTGCATATTCAAGAGAAGGGTGGCTTGAATTTTTGTACTTCGTAATTTCTATTTTTCGTACTCTATATGTGTATTTTTATTTTCCGTAACCAATTACTCGTAATAACGATCTCTATAGGAAAAGATTTTCGCACACCAAAAATTTATTTGTGCACACCTCTACAGCTCTACGTGATAAGCACATTAAAAATTTTGCTCTCACATTAGGTGTGTCGAAATCAATTTTTGACAAGCCTAATTCAGTTTCCCATCTCTTATCTTTCTAGTTTCTACTCTTTACTCTCTACTAGTAGGAGGGTGAGTATGAATTTTGTTTATTTTTTTCCTTTTTCTTTTCAAATACTTGATTTGATTATGTAAGGAAATACATGAATATGGTTAAATTGAAACCAAATACTTGTATAACTTTAAATGCTTATTTCAAAGGGACTTTTTGACTTTATTTTTTTTAATTTTAAATTATTAGCTTAGTGCTAGTTATTGACCATTTTAATTAGATGAATAGGATTTGAATGAAACTTTTGCATCCAAACTCATGTTTTAATACCAAAAATGCTATTTTTATAATAAACAGAGTATCACATTACAATGGAATTTATATGTTCTTGTCCCCCCCCCCAAAAAAAAAAAAAGCATATGTTAGATTTTTAAAGAAGATTTCCTATGATACTAGACCAAAACGAATTTGAGTATTTCAATGAAGAACTCTAATTATATGTCATAAAAGACTAAAGTTAAGATATGACATAAGAAGTATAAATAAGTATGAATTCTCTACATATATAGAGTATACAATAACTAACATACTTACGAATATGCAATCTGAAAATGACCGAGTATTGTATTCTTTTTCCAAAATTGTGATTTATGGGAATTGGCTTTAATTTTCTATGTATGTAATTCCAGTCCGGAGGTGATATTCCTAAAGACCTCATCTACGTGGTTCAATTCATCTCTAGTGTGGTCAATGGAAATCAACCTAATTTGCTTATGTTATACCCGATAATAAAAGCATAATTAGCGTCCATCTCTATTGTCACTCAATATATAGAAATCGTTATATAAACTCGGGTGCACGGTACATCTAAGGGTATTGTTTGCCCGTGTCGATTATTATTGCTCATTTTATCTTCAAATAAGCAAACAAATACCCTTGGATACACCGTACACCCGGATGTATATACCAAACTCTCCTCAATATAGTCATCACTGGAACCATAAGTTCAAAATATTGCATTATTACTCATAAATATAGATTATAGAGGATGATTTTTTTTTTCAAAATAATAAAAAAACAAGTTTTCAAGAAATCGAATTCTAACATTACATGTACAACATTAGCATGTGTTTTTTTAGCTGGTTTAAATAATCCTTTGTTATCAAATACCACCCCTTATTTTTTTGAAAAAATATACTCTGTACTATCCTTAATTACTTTTGATTGGCCCTGTAATGATAGTAGTACTACGTATAATTTTCTACAGTAGTTTTTCTGTAGAAGCTAGGTAGGGATGTGATGGCCTATACGGCTATACTCTACCGGTATGGTAAAACCGCCGCCTTTTACTTTCACACTTTATAATACATACTATTTATGGATTAACAAATTACATAAAACTATTTACGGATTAACAAATTATCTGAAACTATTTACGAATGATGGATCATTCTATAAATAGTTTTTAAAATCATAAAATGAAATGATTTATTCAACGAAAATATTATCATTTCTTTGGGCTTCTAATATGTTTGAAACGAATTTATTTTAAGCGTTAAAACCTCATTTTTAAATATCATATCTTCTGAAATAATTTTGATACAATTTTTACTCTTATTTAAAATTTTACTCTCACCATTGCCATATGATTTGACCGATGATCCTATCATTTTGCTTCAATTTTCATGGAGTGGTCAGCATTCATAGAATTCTAAGATGAATTGAGTGACTTTCCACTTAGGTTTCTTGTTAGATCTGACCAATTGATCAACCATTTGGGGGGGAATTTGGGGGTTGGTTCGCAGCCATTTTTTTCTTTTAAGTTACAAGATTAGTACACGCGCGTTACACAGTGGTGATAAGTAATTAATTGTGGGAGGCCCCCGTAATGATAGTAGTACTACGTATAACTTTCTACAGTAGGTTTTCTCTCTCCTCTTCCTCTTTCTCTCTCTTTTGGGTTTTTTTTCTCTTTCATTTTGCTGCCATTAAAATACTTTCGCCCTTTCAATTTTTTTTATCTAATATGCAAAATAAAATTGTTTTTCAAAATAAATTTGTACTACATAATTGTGTGTTAATATTGAACATTTTAATTATGAAGAGTTTATTAATGAATTAAGGAGAGTTTTTGGAGAGAATAGACAATATTTGAATGTTTATTTAACTAGGGAAGACACAGAAAATGCGAATGAGCATAGATTTATGGAGATTGAGTTGAAAGTTTATGAGAATGGGGTATTTATTTTAGTAAGGTATCATGATTTATACCTCTTGGCATTTAGGAAAAAAAAAAATTGATCCTTCTAATACTTGGTATTTACCCAAAATTACACCTAAAAGTCTTTTTGCAGATTATAAAAGTAAAATTATTCCTAATGTAGTAGAATTACATTTTGGAGAAAGTTATATGGACATTTGGGGATTACAAAAGGTTGGTATTGGGGTTACTAGAGTTCAAAATGTTGTTATTACACTTGATGATTCTAGTGATTTTGACAGTTTTAGGAAACCAATAGTGGTTTTATCTGTGTTTCTTAGTGAAGCTATTCGTGATAAGGATATATCAAGGGATATAAATGAGATTTTTATGATAAATGAGATTTTTATGGAATATAGAGATGTTGATAATTTTGGGGTAAAGTGGTGTAATAAAATTCGGTGTTGGAGTAAAAATTGTGTTGATATTACTTCTGATGATTTGGTTTTAAAAAGTAACATATTAACACCTAATCCTAATGCTGATAGTTTACAAAAAATTATTGATGAGGCCAATAAGGTAGGAGTCTTTCTACATTCCGCTTACGTAGAAGCGTGTCGAATAGTAGAACAGAAGGAAAATGAAGCTAAGGAACATCGTCGGTCAAAATAATGGTACCGACTTCGGTAATGGCGATGGCGGCGGCGATGGTGACAATGGTGGTGATGGTACTAATAGTGACAATAATGGTGGAGGTGTGGTCGTAGGTGCAACTTTGATTATTAAGGTTTATATTGTAGTTCATTGTATATTATGGTAATGGGCTAGGATAATTATGATACTATATCCATCTCTGTGGAAGCTAGGCAGGGATGTGATGGCCTATGCTCTACCCGGGTATGGTAAAAACGCCGCCTTTTACTTTCACATTTTATAATACATAACTATTTATGGATTAACAAATTACATAAAACTATTTACGGATTAACAAATTATCTGAAACTATTTACGAATGATGGATCATTCTATAAATAGTTTTTAAAATCATAAAATGAAATGATTTATTCAACGAAAATATTATCATTTCCTTGGGCTTCTAATATGTTTGAAACGAATTTATTTTAAGCGTTAAAACCTCATTTTTAAATATCATATCTTCTGAAATAATTTTGATACAATTTTTACACTTATTTAAAATTTTACTCTCACCATTGCCACATTATTTTGACCGATGATCCTATCACTTTGCTTCAATTTCCATGGAGTGGTCAGCATTCATAGAATTCTGTCCGAAGATGAATTGAGTGACTTTCGCTTAGGTTTCTTGTTAGATCTTACCAATTGATCAACCATTTGGGGGGAATTAGGGGGGGTTGGTTCGCATCCATTTTTTTTTTCTAAGTTACTAGATTAGTACCCGCGCGTTACACGGTGGTGATAAGTAATTAATTGTGGGGGGGCCCCGTAATGCTAGTAGTACTACGTATAACTTTCCACAGTAGGTTTTCTCTCTCCTCTTCCTCTTTCACTCTCTTATGCGTTTTTTTTCTCTTTCATTTTGCTGCCATTAAAATACTTTCGCCCTTTCAATTTTTTTTATCTAATACGCAAAATAATATTGTTTTTCAAAATAAATTCGTACTACATAATTGTGTGTTAATATTGAACATTTTAATTATGAAGAGTTTATTAATGAATTAAGGAGTGTTTTTGGAGAGAATAGACAATATTTGAATGTTTATTTAACTAGGGAAGACACAGAAAATGCGAATGAGCATAGATTTATGGAGATTGAGTTGAAAGTTTATGAGAATGGGGTATTTATTTTAGTAAGGTATCATGATTTATACCTCTTGGCATTTAGAAAAAAAAATGATCCTTCTAATACTTGGTATTTACCCAAAATTACACCTAAAAGTCTTTATGCAGATTATAAAAGTAAAATTATTCCTAATGTAGTAGAATTACATTTTGGAGAAAGTTCTATGGACATTGGGGGATTACAAAAGGTTGGTACTGGGGTTACTAGAGTTCAAAATGCTGTTATTACACTTGATGTTTCTAGTGATTTTGACAGTTTTAGGAAACCATTAGCAGTTTTATCTGTGTTTCTTAGTGAAGTTATTCGTGATAAGGATATATCAAGGGATATAAATGAGATTTTTATGGAATATAGAGATGTTGATAATTTTGGGGTAATGTGGTGTAATAAAATTCAGTGTTGGAGTAAAAATTGTGTTGATATTACTTCTGATGCATGATTTGGTTTTAAGAAGTAACATATTAACACCTAATCCTAATGCTGATAGTTTACAAAAAAATATTGATGAGGCAAATAAGGTAGGAGTCTTTCTACATTCCGCTTACGTAGAAGCGTGTCGAATAGTAGAACAGAAGGAAAATGAAGCTAAGGAACATCGTCGGTCAAAATAATGGTACCGGCTTCGGTAATGGCGATGGCGGCGGCGATGGTGACAATGGTGGTGATGGTACTAATAGT